AGAAAGGCGCCACCATCAATACTAAAGACAAACCTTACATAGAAGCATTTGAAAAAATGAAAGTTTTAATTACTTCAGACCCAATTTTAATTTATCCTGACTTTAATAAACCATTTTCTCTAACAACAGACGCAAGTAATATTGCTATAGGAGCAGTACTGTCACAAAATCACAAACCAATCTGTTATGCTAGCAGAACTCTTAACGAGCACGAAATAAATTACGCGACTATTGAAAAGGAACTTTTAGCAATCGTATGGGCTACCAAATATTTTAGATCATATTTATTCGGTAGGTCATTTGAAATATTAAGCGACCATAAACCCTTAGTTTGGCTAAATAATATAAAAGAACCAAATATGAAACTACAACGGTGGAAAATAAAATTAAACGAATTTGATTATCAGATTAAATATTTGCCAGGTAAAGAAAATTATGTTGCCGACGCTTTATCCAGGACCAAAATAGAAGAAAATATGTTTACAGATGATATTGAGGAAAATGTATTAGAAGAGACAGCCAGTAGTGTAAACGCAACAGCACACAGTGCGCAAGAAGATAACCAGAATTATATTTCTATAACCGAGAGACCATTTAATTATTTTTCCCGACAAATTGAAGTAATTAAAGGAGATGAAGACAAAACAGAAGTAACGCATTATTTCCACAAATTAAAAATTCAAATTATTTATAAAGAAATGACGGAAACTTTAGCAAAAGAGATAATTAAAGAATACCTATGTACCAAGAAGAGCGCAATATATTTCCATAACGATTCAGATTTTCTTATATTCCAAAAAGCTTATGTGGAAATTATAAATGCAAGTCATTTGACGAAATTAGTAAGATGTACGGCAAGACTCGAAGACATACTGACATACGCAGACTTTAAAGAAAAAATATTGAAACGACACAAAGACCTCTTACATCCAGGAATCGAAAAAACTACTAAATGGTTTAGAGAAAAATATTACTTCCCTGATTATCAAAAATTAATTCAGAATATAATAAATGAATGTGAAATTTGCAACATTGCTAAAACGGAACATAGAAATACCAAATTGACATTCGAACTTACACCAGAAATTCAAAATATAAGAGAGAAATTTGTCATGGATTTTTATATGGTGGGTAACCAACAATTTTTATCATGTATCGACGTTTATTCAAAATTTGCTACTTTAGTAGAAGTCACAAGTAGGGATTGGTTAGAAGCTAAAAGAGCTATCATGAAAGTATTTAACGAAATGGGAAAACCACAAGAAATCAAAGCAGATAAGGATTCAGCATTTATGTGTGTAGCTTTACACAATTGGTTAAACTCAGAAGGAGTACAAATTCAAGTAACAACAAGTAAAAACGGTATATCGGACGTAGAAAGATTTCATAAAATGGTAAATGAGAAGCTGAGAATCATAGGAAGTGAACCGGATATTGAAAACAGGTATACCAAATTTGAATTAATTCTGTATATTTATAATCATAAAACAAAACATAATGCTACAAATCAAATACCAGCCAACATATTTATGTATGCAGGAACCCCTGATTACGATACACAAGAAAAGAAAATAAATAGAATTGAAAAGCTTAATGAAAAACGTCATGATTACGAAATAGACACAAAATATAGACAAGCACCTTTAGTAAAGTCCAAAACTACAAATCCATTTAAAAAGACAGGAACCTTGAGAAAAATTGACGAAAAACACTTTGAGGAAACAAATAGGGGAAGAAAGATTATTCATTATAAATCGAAATTTAAAAAGAAAAAGAAAATTAATAAAAGTAAATACGATGATAATTCCAGGCAAGCAGAAGAAAATGAACGGACCCAACAACAACAACTTAATGAAAACAATGACCTTCTCCATAATACTAACAACTTTAATTCAACTAACAATCGGGCAGAGCATTGAAATAAATCCCATTAAGTCCCAAAATGGATATCTTGTATTTAAAACAGGATCAATAGATATCCCGATTAATTATGAATACCATTACCTAAGTGTAAACATAACAAAAACTGAACAAACTTTTGAAAGTCTTTTGAAAGAAGCTGCTGAATTTAATGACGTAATACAAATCCGATATCTAGTAGAAAAACTTAAAAGAGAAATTAACGGAATTACATTAGCAAAACGCAGTAAGAGAGGTTTATTCAACATTGTAGGATCAGTATATAAATACCTATTCGGAACATTAGACCAAGATGATATTATAATGTATTCCAAATAATCACTTTAACAACTTTTGTAATCATTATTATAAGCATTTTATTGTACTTATTGTATAAATTTAAGAGCATACCAAGAAAACTTATTGTAAAATATGTAAAACCAAAGGAAGATACACAAAAGAGTACAGAAATTGTAAATGATCTACCAAGGCAAATTAACATAGAAGAAAATGTAATGTTATACCCAACACTATCCACCTGAGGACAGGCCAAATTCAAAGAATGGGGGAGTGACATATCCATAGTTCCACATAACTTTATGCACATGTCCATACGCCCACACACTTACACACACATACACCATCCCAGAATTCACCCTTCAGATAACCTTAGTTCGCCACCAGCTAATATCTAATTGCAAATGCACCCAGGCTTTAGACTAAACATCCAGAACGAATCAAATTACGTTATCAGTTCGTTCCCACACTTTCGGACCCTCAATGGAAAATTACCATGAGAAAGAATCCCCAAAAGATTTAGACTAAACAATCGGATTGACTCGCCGGTGCATTATCAATCAACAATCCAAAGGGCAATTTTAAAACTCACTCAATTAAAGCTAACTCCACTCATAGAAAGCTCTAAAGCTCAGAACCGAGGTATGATCATCAAAGAAGTTTAAGTTAAGAAGCGAGTTCAGTTTGAGACTTGTCTAAAGACAGTCGGTGTTCTTCCAAATAAAAAAATATTGTAACCAGTTTAAAATTAAATTAAATAAAGTTTTTTTTTTTTATATTAAACTTATGGTGCAAACATTTTATTATATATATACGTGCAAACACTATCGTTGAAACACACAACAAAAAAAAAGTCTCGTTCTTAAACACAATCACTTATTGTATATATATATATATATATAAATGTAGGTATGTATGTTTATGTAGATATGTCGGTATATCCCACGGCGGCACACGTCTCTTCCGATGAGTTGGGTTGCGGGCAGCGGCGTCTCCGATGTCTTGCTCACTTCACTTTGTATCGCTGTTGTTGCACTTGCATTCATAAATGCCTGAGTTCACAATTTGTTTTTTTTTTATTTTTGTTTCGGTGCACTATTGTTTGCAATTAATGCATTTATTGTTTTGGCTTCTTTGCACTGTTTATTGTTTTATTGTTTGCTTTAATTAGACTCGGCATATCGCCTGTTCGAGGGCGTGCTTCTGGTCCCGGCGACCGTGTACAGATCGCTTGTACATCTTGACTACCTTCAGGATGGCCACGAAAACAAATATACCGATGACGATTTTTAGATTATGGTTCACATCCTGAATGTCGTCCTTGTGATCGATTATTTTGACGGTGTTGATCACATTGGCCGTACTGTGGTCCGCTCTGGAATTGGTTCCACCCATGGTGAATTCTTTGCTGGTTGATGGATCGCAAATAGATGCTGGTCCTTAGAAGCTATGCTGTAGCAAGACTTCACTTATTGAAATCGTGGGCAGAAAGATTTCTCCCAGGATATGTCTGCGGGGATCAAAAACAAAACTCCCTTCAAATGATGGTTGTGGTTCATAAATGGCGAGCAGGACTTCCTTCGAGGACGCTGATTTATTCAGTCACTGACAGGACTTCCTTCGGGATATGTTTTGCTGGCTTTTATTGACTTCTTCCAAGGAGAGTTGTGGTGCATCGACGGGCACAGGAGTATCTTCAGGATTCCTGGTCTGGGCTGTCGTCATTGGCGACTTCTGGAATATAGTGTAGTGAACTCTGTCTACCTTCTCTATCCGGCTACGGTCTTTTATACCAGTATAGAGCTTTTTCTCGGCTCCCGTGATATTTGGGTTATTTAGGTGTTCCCACCTATGATTTCCCCTACATGCAGCGTCAACGCCCGACTGATGCACTTTGCCTGCTGCCGGTGTATGGTTACCAGTAGGTCGATCGCGGTCGTTGTTCTGACCGTATGCCATGCAAAAGATCGTCAAGTTGCACATTCCTTTGCTTGTTTTCGGTGAGTCAATCTGTCGATTGCCCCTCTCCCTTTGCCTTGAGATTAGTTGTGGTTTTTCTAAGTGCATTATTCTCCATCAAATAAATTGAAGGAGAGGGCGTACGTAACAGGCTCGAAGTGATCGATACGGACACGCATGGAATGACTTCGCAAAAGGAATCTTCGTACGACCAGAGAATTGGTTTTTTTTTTTTCTCTGTATAAAACGCCCTTAAACGTGTGGCTTCGACCCACTCCTGCACCAAGAGTCTCATGTTCATCCGACTGCTCTAACCGGGCTATTATCAAACTATTAATTTGTATTTATTTGGTTGGTTTTTTTTTTATGGGGACTATTGTGCATAGAGGTTATCTGAAAAAACTTTCCGTCGCTGGACAGAAACATGCATACATACATATAAATTAAAGATACCGCAAATACCAGAGCTGATGGACTATAGGCGTAGTGGCAACTTATGCTTAGAAAAGCCTCATTTATCGAAATAAAATGGTGGCAGGCCTGGACACCGACCCATGTCACATTTTGTCGGCCTGTGTTATTATTTATTTTATCTATTATTTTTTCCGCAAGTGTAACTTTTAAAAAATATCATCAAACCCATTCAAACCTATTGTCCGAGTCCTGTCCAGACACTTGATACTTTACTCGTTTGCCATTCGCAGAAGAATGATTTCACCTCCACACCCAACAACACCTTTAACCGAAACAATCAGTCAAACAATAGCGGAGGGGGAAGTGGCCGACGGTCACCCTTTCGACGGGTTCGCACCGAGGATGTGCTGGTGGACTCCCGGGTCCAGGACATGTCCTTCGAGGCTAAGGTGAGTGCCGCAATGGATTTGAGTCGCGCATGTGGGTGTGTGTGTGTTTTGGGGGCGGGCTAGAGAACAGGCTAGGATGGGGGTGGGGTTTCCTGGGACGCCGAAAAGAGGCGGACACACAAATTAGCGAGATGCGCCGCGTAGAAAACTCAAATCAGTTGTGGCACTTTCCGGATCCATTTCGAACATGCATTTCAAATCTTTGCTAATTTGTGGTTCGCGCTCTTTGGCGTTTCTCTCTTTCAGGACAACGGCTTCAAGAAGCACAACAACGGACGCGGCGGCAGGGGAGGCTCTGGATTCTCTGGACGTCCGGATCGCAGCACTTGGGAGACCAACAAAAACGACGGCGAGGGCGGCGGTGATGGAGGCGGCTTCAAGAAGATTGGCGATCGCAAGAGCTTCGGAGGCTTTGACAACAACCAGCGAGGAGGCCGAGGCGGCGGTGGTCGTGGAGGTGGCGGCCGTGGAGGCGGTGGTGGCTTCGGCGGTCGTGGAGGTGGCGGCCGCGGAGGCGGTGGTGGCTTCGGCTCGAAGTGATCGATACGGACACGCATGGAATGACTTCGCAAAAGGAATCTTCGTACGACCAGAGAATTGGTTTTTTTTTTTTTTTTCTCTGTATAAAACGCCCTTAAACGTGTGGCTTCGACCCACTCCTGCACCAAGAGTCTCATGTTCATCCGACTGCTCTAACCGGGCTATTATCAAACTATTAATTTGTATTTATTTGGTTGGTTTTTTTTTTTATGGGGACTATTGTGCATAGAGGTTATCTGAAAAAACTTTCCGTCGCTGGACAGAAACATGCATACATATACATACATACCTGAAAAAAAAGCAAAAGTTACAACAAAAATTAATACCTGTAAAAAGAAAATATGCGCTGTAGTCAGCAAAGACAAGGAAAAGACAAAAATATATCGTATTGCCGTGTACGAGCATAAGGTGCTGTGGCCAAGCAAAATTTCCCACCTCTGCGATTGGATTACCATCGCAGTGTCGCTCGAGGTTTTGCCTACTATATTTCCCCCAGAGATGACAAATGCTTTTATTTATATTTTTATTATTTATTATTTCTCAATTTTTTTTTTTCCTTTTTTTTTTGTTTGTTATAATTTACAAAATTACCAGCAGGTCCCTTCTGGCCTGCAAAGCCCGCTCCGGACTGGTCCTCGCCAACTTCAGGATTGCCTTGTGCAACCAAACCAGCAGCTCCATCTCTTGGGTCTGTCGCTTAAGCAATGTTGACCGGGCTTGCTCAAGGTCCTGTTGTTGTCCCTGTAGTAATCCTTTGAGGCGCTCCTCATAGTTGAGCCGCTGACGGATCAAACTTTTACAGCGCCCAATTTTCTGCTTATTCCTTCGGGTCGGCTCCACCCATCAAGCGATATAGAGGTCTTTGGCATGGAATACGCCAACACTCTTCCCACCGACATTTCCCAGCTAGTATAACGCCTTGCCCTTACGCTGGAGTACAACACAGCGAATTCGATTCGGGCCAAGTTTGGCATTGTATCCCTCAGCTTTGTTACTCTGCCGGTAGTTTTTTTGATAGACAACTTGTCCAACGGAAAATTCCACCGGTTTGCTACGGGTGTTATAGGCCTTTTCTGCTCGTTCATGGGTCCTGTTTAGCCCCTGGCTCACTTTTTGTCGGATCAGATCCATTTTATCCGGTAGGCTTATCTCTGGATCTCCAGTCTGGATTCCACCCAGCTTCCTTAAGATTGGGTTTGCAGTGCCGTGTGTCACCATTTGTGTCCCAAACATGGCATAGTAGGGTTCCATGCCTATTGATTCGTGTCGGCCACTCCTAAGGGTACATTCTATTCGGCTTAACTGGGTATCCCAATTTCGCTGATCCGATGCAATCGTTGCTCGCAAAATTTGGAGCACCGATCGGTTTACCCTCACCGCTGCATTCGCTTGCGGGGAGTAGAGCCCTGTTCTCACGTGTCGAATACCGTAGCGAGTCATTAGCTCGGTAAACATTTGAGACACAAATTGTTTTCCATTGTCAGAGTGTATGTACTCGGGTACTCCGTATTGATGGAAAATTCGGGTTTCGAGGAATTTGACTACCTCTGACGCCACTGCATGTCTCATAGGCTGCAGCCAGACAAATTTGGAGAAATGGTCGAGGCATACAAAAATCACTGAGTTCCCAGTTTTGGTTCTTGGATACGGCCCCATAAAGTCGATAAACAACCTTTGACCGGCTCGTTCCGTGACCCTTTGTTCTCCCATGGGTGGTCGGGTATTTTTGTTGGTGGTCTTGCTGATCTTACAGACCTCGCACTCTTTCACTACCTTTTGCACATCTACCGCCATCCCTGGCCAGTAGTAAAACTGTCTTAACTTGGCTAAGGATTTGTGCAAACCCCCATGCCCTGCGGTCATGGCATGATGTGCTCTCCAGACTAAATCAGATCGCAGCTCGGCGGGTACCCAAAGCTTCCATGCTCGAGTTTCATCGACGGCATCGCCCGAGCTGAACCCTATCCGCTTGTATACAAAGCCGTCCGTTGTTTGTACGTCTGGGCCTTTTAACACACTTTGGTCCACTGCCTGCACTAATTTCACGTATTCCGGGGATTGGAAAGCCGTCGAGTCCAGGTTAATCTGTATGTCTTGTTCTTCCGCTTTTGCTTTCTGTAGCTCGTCCATATGCACTCGTGAGAGAGCATCTGGTACTACGTTAAGTGCTCCTTTCCGATGCTCGATGGTAAAGTCGAATGCTTGCAGCTTCAGACTCCATCGTGCTAATCTGCCGGATAGATCCTTTTGACCCATCAGCCATTTTAGACTAGCATGATCGGTGATCACTTTGAACGGCATTCCTTCTACGTAAGCGCGGAATTTGGTGATGCTGAGAAGGGCGGCATAGCCTTGTTCAGTTTGGCTGACATGTAGGCGATTGGATGTTCGCCGCCTGAGTCATCAGTCTGAAACAAAACTCCTCCTACTCCAGTCGTTGATGCATCGCACTGAATGGTGAAGGGTTTCTTAAAGTCAGGGGTGACAAGTACAGGTGCTGATGCCATGTTCGCTTTTAGCTCTTCAAATGCCTTAATTGCCTCTTCGGACAATTCAAATTTCTTAACGCGGTCTTTCTTCAAACAATCATGAAGAGGTGCCGCTGTTTGGGCATAGTTTTGAATAAACCTCCTGTACCAGCCAGTCATTCCCAAAAACCTCCGCATCTGTTTGGGAGAGCTTGGTTGAGGAAATTCCTGGATTGACTGGATTTTTGAATCGTCCGTTCGTATGCACCCCCCTCCTACTACATAGCCTAGATATCGAGCTTGGCTATAGCAAAACTTACTTTTGTCGACATTTATTGTCAGTTTTGCACGCTGCAAGCAGTCACTGACCTGTCTCAACATATCCAGGTGTTTTTCAAAAGTAGGTGAACAAACCAGTAGGTCGTCGAGGTACACGAATACATTCTCGCGAAGCGACGCCGGTATTACTTTATCCATTAGTCGGCACATTCTTTGCGCTGCATTGCACAGGCCGAAAGGCATGACTGTAAATTGATATAGTGGTCTGCCGGGTACTGTAAACGCGGTCTTCTCTCTACTTTTTGTTTCCAAGGGTATTTGCCAAAAAGCGTCTTTTAAATCGATTGCGGAAATATAGTATGTTTCCTGTAAACGACTTAACAGACCCTCGATGTGTGGCAATGGGTATGCATCTTTGATAGTCCGGGAATTGACTTTGCGAGCGTCGAGGCAAAGGCGATTTTTCTGGCCTTTCTGGACTAGAGTCACTGGTGAACTCCAGCTGCTGTTGCTCTCTTCGATCACACCTAGACCAAGCATGCGATCTAGCTCGGCATACACCAGCTTTTGCTTAGCTGGGGAAATCGGATAATGCCGCTGCTTGATCGGCAGGTCCTCGTCGGTTACTTCTATTACATGCTGCTCCAAGCTGGTCTTTCCTAAACCTTTATCCAGACATGATGGGTATGTCTCAATTACTCGCCTCAGCTTACTGTGTTGTTCTGGAGATAGCTGATGAGGCATGTAAGCGGTTTCAGCCTTAGGAGGGTCGTTCATATCCAAGTCTCCAGTCATTAAGTCGTATTCCGGTGGTGCTTCGATGGCTACAAACTCGGTTCCCCCCTTACCCAGAAATGTTAGGCCAAACGTATCCCAGAAGTTGATTCCGAAATAAAAACGTTGTGTCAGACCTGGTACTATCAGAAATTCCAGATCCTTAGTCTCGCCTTCCCGTTCCACGGGTAAGGTTATTGCTCCGACTACTCGAGTTTCGCCGCCACTAGCTGTGCGCACACATTCTTCGCTAAGCTTCCTTATGGGCCGCGTCCGGTTCCTTAAGAAGGCTTCCGCTCCTCTGCCAATGCAATTTGCACTAGCGCCTGTATCCAGTAGCGCTAGTATTTCTTCTCCGTCGACTTTAGTCTTGGCAAAGAAACGGTTATCGTTTCGTATGCTTACTACCGTGTCTACTACTTTTTGCTTAAGCTTGCGATATTCTGCTCTGGTGTCATATAGCTTGTGCATCTTTCGTATGTCCCGGGTGGTGTTGTCCGTATCTTCTGAGCCGTGGAAGATACACTGTCTCGCCAGATCATACTCCCTCTCTCGTTGTTCTAGGCTCTTGTGGGGAGAGATTTGTCTGGGCGTGGTTGTCTCTACGGGAAGGTGACTGCTTTGGTCCGCCCGGCTGTCCCGGTCTGGCCTGACGGACTCCGCGGAAAAGCCGCGGGACTGGTGTCTCCTACCTTCTCACACACTCTACAAGTGGCGTCATGGAATCTAGTAAGGCAGGGATCTTCTTTTGGATGCTTTCTATAAAAATCCGCAGATCTGCCGCATTTATAGCAGACCAATTCGTGGAGTGGTCCTTGGCATCCCTGTCCGTTTCCTAGTCCCGATCGGTTGTCTCTTCGCTTCCGGTTAAATTCTTCCACAGTCACCGCGTCTGGAAAATCCTGCGGCGTTTGGGAATCCTCGAGCTCACTAACCGGCCTGCTTCGCGCGGCCCTGCCGTTACTCCGTAACCAGCGGTCCACTCTAAGTCCTTCCTTCTTCAGATCCGCTAGAGACCTAATTGGGGATGTCAGCAACAAGCTTCCCATCTGGGCATTTAGATTATCCTTGATGAGCTCAACGAATTTGGATAGTCGCTAAAAGATTCGTTTTGTCCTTGTCGCCGTTCCATCAACTCCTTGATCTTCATGAGGTCACTCCCGGATGAAAAAAAAGCGCGTTTCATTTCCGTTGTTAGCGAATAGTAGTCAAAGTCTAAATCGTCCGCTCGATCCTCCATCAATTGCCAATACCATTTGCTGGCGGCTCCTACCAGTAGGCTATGGAATTCGCGGAAGACTTGGCTCGGCTCTATCCGATAAAGCACTTGTAGCCGTTCAACGCGGAACAAGAAACTTTCAACAGTCATACCGCGGCTGTTTCCGTCAAACTTCAAATTCCATTTGTCTAGCCGAACGCCTTTTGATGCCTGGTATCCGGGGCTCTGGTCGTATTCGGGGTGTCGTGGGTAACTTGTGT